ATCCCAAAGAATGTGCGAACTACTGCACACTTGCATTCCACTCCCACGCTAGTAAAGTAATGCTCAGAGTTCTCCAAGCCAGGCCTCAACAGTACATGACCCGTGAACTTCCAGATGTTCAAGCTGGATTTCTGAAAGGCAGAGGAACCAGAGATCAAATTGCCAACATCCGTTGGATCATCGAAAGGCAAGAGAGTTCCAGAAAAACAGCTATTTCTACTTTACTGAGAATGCCAAGGGCTTTGACTGTGTGGATCAGAAAAAACTGTGGAAAATTCATCAAGGGATGGGAATACCAGACGACCTGAACTGCCTACTGAGATATCTGCATGTAGGTCAAGAAGCAACAGTTACAACTGGACATGGAATAAGAGACTGGCTTCAAAGCAGGAAAGGAGTATGTCAAGGTGGTATATTGTAACCCTGCTTACTTAATTTATGTGCAGACTACATCATGAGAAATGCTGGGCTGGATGAAGCACAAGTTGGAAGCAAAATTGCCAGAAGGAATATCAATAATATCAGATATGCAGATGACACCACCCTTATGGCAGAAAATGAAGAAGAACAAAAGAGCTTCTTGATGAAAGTGAAAGAGGAGAGTAAAAAGTTTGGCTTAAAACTCAATATTCAGAAAACTAAGATCATGGCATCCATTCTCATCACTTCATGGCAAACAGATGGGGAAACAGTGACAGACTTTGTTCTTTGGGGCTCCAAAATAACTGCAGATGGTGAATGTAGACATGAAGTTAAAGGAGGCTTGCTCCTTCGAAGAAAACATATGACCAACTTAGTTCAATTCTGTTCAGTGTCTCAGTCTTGTCCAAAGACGGGCTCTGTCCAGTCTTTGAGACCCCATGGACTGCAGCATGCTGGGCCTCCATGTCCATCACCAATTCCCGGAGTTTACTTAAACTCATGTCCATTGATTCCGTGATGCCATCCAACTAACTCATCCTCTGCCATCCCTTTCTCTTCTCACCATCACTTTTTCCCAGCATCAGGGTCTTTTCAAACGAGTCAGCTCAACCAACTTAGTGAAAGAAAGTGAAAGTGAAGTCGTTCAGTCATGTCTGACTCTTTGTGACCCCATGGACTTAAGCCCACCAGGCACCTCCAAGTATGGGATTCTCCAGGCACAAATCCTGGAGTGGGTTGCCATTTTCTTTTCCAGGAGATTTTCCCGACCAGGGATTGAACCTGGGTCTCCCACATTGTAGGCAGATGCTTTACCGTCTGAGCCACCAGGGAAGTCCCAACCAACCTAGACAGCTTATTAAAAAGCAGAGATATTGCTTTGCCAACAAAGGTCGATCTAGTCAAAGTATGGTTTTTCCAGTAGTCATGTATGGATGTGAGAGTTGGACTATAAAGAAAGCCAGAGAATGGATGCTTTTGAACTGTGGTGTTGGGAAAGACTCTTGTGAGGTCTTTGGATACCAAGGAGATCCAACCATCCATCCTAAAGCAAATCAGACCTGAATATTCATTGGAAGGACTGATGCTGAAGCTCCAATACTTTGGCCACCTGATAGGGAGAATTGACTCATTTGAAAAGACCCTGATGCTGGTACACATTGAAGGCGGGAGGAGAAGGGAACGACAGAGGATGAGATGGATGAATGGCATCACGGACTCAACGGACATGAGTTTGAGTAACTCCAGGAGTTATTGATGGGCAAGGAAGCCTGGCATGTTGCAATCCATGGTGTCATAAAGAGTCAGACACAATGGAGCCATTGAACTGAACTGAATCTCCGGTCTGGTCCAGTGGCATGACCACTGTGGGTTCCCACGAGTCTCCTTTTTTGCCCATCAGTAGGCACCAAGAAATGACTGTTCTTTTAAAACACCACTGATAACTGACTGCACAGCTGCAGATCAATCCACACCTCCATCAGCAGCAATGACACTGCTTCCGGGGGTGGAGCTGACCACAAGATGTCCCGAATGGAACACTACGTCCCCGGTGCCTTGTATCCAACCTCAGTGCTCTTTCTTGAGTAGTTACTGTTCACTTTGTGTGTGTGTGTGTGTGTGTGTGTGTGTGTGTGTGTGTGTGTGTGTGTGCTCAATCAATAATTCTCTCTGACTCTTTGAGACCCTATGGACCCCAAACCCTGCCAGGCTCCTCTGTCCATGGGAATCTCCAGGAAAGAATACTGGAGTGGGTTGTCATTCCCTTCTCCAGAGGATCTTCCCAACCAAGGAAGGGTCCCTTGTGTCTTGTGTGACCTGCCATGGTCAATATATTCTAAACCAGTGCCACCACCTGGGAAACCCATGTAACACTGCATTCTGCTAAATGCTTACCACCACCGCCAACCCTACAGCAGATGAGTGCTGTTTAAACACAGAATTGAGTTGTTTTCCAATGCTGGTTAGGAAAGCACAGGTTCTATTTGAAACTTGTCTCACTGACCATTCCCTTTGCTCACATGACATCAGGTGGGAAACTCATATTACTCGGTAAAACTAATGAAAGAGACAGTCGCTCAGTCATGGCACCTTTGTGACCCCATGGACTGTCAGTCCATGGAATTCCACAGGCCAGATTATTGGAGTGGGTTTCCATTGCCTTCTCTTGGGGATCTTCCCAACCCAGGGATAGACCCAGGTTTCCTGGGTTGCAGGTGGATTCTTTACCAGTTGAGCCTTAAGGGAAGCTCAGATAAAATTAGTATCTGTGGTTTATTCTCTCTTCTCACCAAGACATTTGCAGTGTTCACACCATGTGTCCTAAACAGCTTTCTCCTGCCAGATTGTATACTCAATTTTCTACATAGTTGAATTTTTGTGGTTTAAGTATTTGCAAATATGGCACGTTTCTTTACCGACACATATATGTACTAATCATTTTATTGAACATTTTAGGAATTTAGTAACATCAGCAAGAGCAGAGGAGATTTGTGGCAGGAAAGCCATGGGGCCAGTATCATGTTTTCCTGGGAGAGAAGAAAGGACGATTTCAAGGAAAAGGTCTATAATCTTCATATGGATCATTGTGACACATTAGTGATGTGATGCTTCTCATATTCTTACTTCATTTTCTTCTTTAACCATGAAAAAACTTAAGAAGTTGTTGAGATGATTAGGATCAACATGATGCTGGTCAGAGAATGAAAGAGAACATGGAAACAGTTATTGGTGGAAGTAGTGAGAAATTCCCCTACAAGACCCATTTCACAGGAGTCCCTCCATGTGACTGCCCTTGGGATTTGCATAGAATTACTACCTGGTGTCCATCTGTTAAAGCTATGTGTTTTCCACTAGTCATGTATGAGTGTGAGGGTTGAAATATAAGGAGGTTTGAGCGCCAAAGTATTGAAGCTTTTCAACTGTGGTGTTGAAGAAGACTCTTGAGATTCCCTTGGACTGCAAGGAGATCCAAACAGTATATCCTAATGGAAATTAGTCCTGAATATTCATTGAAAGGACTGATACTGCAGCTGAAACTCCAATACTTTGGTCAGTTTATGCGAAGAACTGACTCATTGGAAAGGACCCTGATGCTGGGAAAGATTGACGAGGGAGGAAAAGGGGATGACAGAGGATGAGATGGTTGGATGGCATCACTGACTCAATGGGCGTGAATTTGAGTAAACTCCGGGAGTTGGTGATGGACAGGGAGGCCTGGCATGCTGCTGTCCATGGGGCCACAGTGTTGGACATGACTGAACGACTGAACTGAACTGAAACTAGCTGTGAGCAACGTGGTATCAAGTCTTATGATGAGAGTTAGTAAGTTACATATGCATATGTCTGAGATGTAGGGGACTATGTACTGGGTTGCCTATGCTGCTTACATCTTCTGTAAAACTTCCTTACAATCATAAAGATGTGGCTGCGAGATCATTCGCGCTGGGATTCCCCAAGAGTTCAGGGCTTCACACAATCTCCTTTGTCTGCAAAACGTGTCACTCTGGGGTCTAGACCTGCGTGAGTGTTTAGATACTTAAATCCAAACACTAATGGAAGCCCTAGCATTTACTACTTGGCAAGGTGGATGATTTTATGATCCTATTTTTTTTAAAATAAAGGTTTACTGAAATGTAGTTGATGTGCAATGTTGTGTTTGCTTCAGGGGCACAGCAGAGTGCTTTATGTATACATTTTCTATTTTTGTTTAACGGCCAAGTCGTGTCCCACTGCTGTGTTCCTATGGGACGTTTCCAGATTCCTCTGTCTTTGACATTTTCTAGGCAACGATTCTGGAGTGGCTGGTCATTACCTATTGCATGACCTGCATCTCCTGCATCAGGAGGCAGATTCTTTATACTGAGCTACCAGGGAAGCCCTCAGTTATACACATATGTATGTAAATATGTACCTTTTTAGATTATTCTCTTTAGGGATTATTACAAGTCACTGAGTATAGATTTCTGTGCTCCACAGCAGATTCTAGTTATTTTATGTTTACTGGTAGGTATCTCTTAAACCTAAACTCCCAATTCGTCCCTCCCCCCAGTTATCACTTTGGTAACCATATTTTGTTTTCTGTGTCTTGAGTCTGTTTCTGTTTTGTAAATAGTTCATTTGTGTCGTATTTAGCATTCCCCATGTAAGGGATATCATACGATATGTGTCTTTCTCTTTGTTTCTTATCGATTATCTCTGGGTCCATCCACGTTGCTGCAAATGGCATTATTTCAGTCTTTGTCATGGTTGAGTAATAGCCAATTGTGTATATAGTCCATTCTTAAAGCAGTATGCCCCCCGGGGGGCTGGGGGGGGGGAAGCCTTAACCTACTAAAGAAGACTCAGTGTTGTTAGGTATCATGTTTCTACTCACCCAACGGAGGTTCTCAGTTCTTATTTAGGACAGTTGTCTGTGAAAGAGAATGAATAAGGGCACAAATGATCATTGATATGCCTCTACTTCAAATAATTATTTCGTAATAACCTGCACGAAAGATTACTGAGGGAGTAGGGAATTTGAATCAAGTATCCTCCTGATGAGTTTTCATTTCTGACACCCGCTGTCCTCAGGGCCTTACCTGTTTGGGCGCCATCTTCTATATTTTCATTTGGAATACCCCTTTCGTTGTTCATTTCCTCGTACTTCTGAATATCTTCTTGACTCAAACTGTCTCCTTTGCCTGGATTTCATAGCAAATAGGGCAGAAGAGGTGTGCATCAGAATCCTTCATTGGTTACCGAGTGTCCCGCGGCTCGTATCTGTAGTGTCCAGTAAGTCTCAGCACGAGCACTTCCCTCCTCCATCACCTAAACCCTGCTCACCAGGGAATTTTCTACAGAGGTGCCCATGTGTGCATACAGGTCTTCAGATGGGCCCAAGGGGATAGACCCCACATAGTTTCCATTTTCTCACGTTCCAGTTCTCACAACTACTGAGAGACCTGCAGACCATTCACCTGTGAGCTTCAGCAGCCCCGAGACAGTGCTGTCTCTAGTGGAACATCTTAGAAGTTCATGGTGGAGTTAGAAACTCAGAATTCCTCCCAACACTACCTGTTCCTGTCCTACATCCTAGAATTGTGTCCCTGGGGTTTTCATGGTCTCCAGTCTATGGAGTGGTTAGAGAGTGCCACTAAATCAATGAGCATAAGTTTGAACAAATTCTGGGACAGAGTGGGAGACCAAGGAGCCTGGCATGCTACAGTCCATGAGGTCACAGAGTCAGGCAGAACTTAGTGACTGAGCAACAATATTCACAAAATGAGGGAGAAATGATTTTAACATTCACCAAGCACTAATCTCATCACTCATGGTACTGAGGGGAAAGACTCAGGCTTTGTCATCCTCAGGCACCAGACACTCCCCCTACCCGGTCTCAATGTGGATTTCTTATCAGAAAGGATAAAGGGACCGGGCAGTTTCCCTGTGGGGTTGGCCACTTGGCACATGATTCAGATGCCTGACCACATGCCTCTGAAGGATTCAATATGATCCAGTGTTTTTTCCAGAGCATTAATTCAGGTGTCAAGATTTATCCTAACGATTGTGACAAAGAATAAAGCATTTGTGATGGAGATGAATGCACTCACGATTGGGAACTGTGAGTCTGCTGAACTCAATTTGAAACCTTGGTTCACATTTGTATCAGAATCTGGCAGCTCCAACATGTGAGGTTCAACTAGAAACCCATGGACCATCCTGGAATATTTTTGTGCACCTCCTGGATGAGTGTATCTAATTTTTACAAAAAGCCACATAATAAGATATCCAGTGGATACATTTGTTCAGGTTCCTGTTAGACAACCTTTGGGCAGCTCTGACTCATGTCACATGAAGTCTGAGTTCTCTCATGTGAATACATGTCTGGTGCAGTGTGCTTAATTAAATGTACAATGTGTAATGTCTTCTGTTCTCGTACAAAAATAGTAATAATATTAACATGACTAGTTTGCATAGAATGAGCTGCAGTACATACCGACGGCATAAGTCACTTTTGTGGTCTTCTCTCCATCAAAGTTTTGAGCATAGAATACCACCATGGTTTGTGATACAGGGATCACTTGAACAGAATTTTTACCCATGACTGTGAGAGAAAAACATAAGTTCAAACCTCAATACAATTAACTACTTTCCTTTTCATTTGGACATCCCTTATTATTCCCATACCTCTGATGGTGACCTTTGTCGCAATGACATTTATAGTGGGTGTGTTGTAAGAAACAGTTAAGACAGCTAGTGAACTAGGACAGCTTTCTCCACAATACTCTCTTCTGATGATAGTGAAAACTTCCAGTCTTCTAGACTAAACAGTCTATGAACGATAGTGAAGTTGCTTATAGCAATTATAGTAGGTTGTGGACCTGAACCATCTCATACCAGCTCATAAGAGTTTACTGTTAAAGATGACTATTAACTTTTCAGGAATTTTGTGACCGAATTTACAAGTACAGTCCTGATTACAAAGATATTCTCTGAATTTAAGCAAATCATGTTAAAATAAAAATTAATAGATAAACTAAATTTATTTCCTAGTAGAGAGGGTGATAGAAGAGCTAGAAATGAGGCAGTAACCAAATGCTGGAGATATATTCTCTGAAGTGATTCTTATTTAGCCCCTGTGGCTGCACGTCCACATTGGAAATTAAAAAACATGCAGCAGATCAAATTAGAATGCTCCATTGCACATGTTCTGTTTGAAAAATCAAATATGTAGACATTTAATCACTCAATGTTACAGCATTGGTATGTGGAAATTCTTCCCAGTATTGCAAACAATAGAGTTAGAAATATGTGCTAGTCCCCTTTTGTTTTCAAATTACATAAAATTATTTTGAAAATTTTCTGTTACTTCATCCCCATACTTTTCTGTGGCATTTAAGTTAATCAGGTCCCACTTCTTAATCAGGCCAGTAAAAACTTTTAATATTTAAAGAATCTCTTTAGTTAACGCAATTTTGATCTTGTAAGCTTAAATAAGTGGCTTCCTTGGGGGCTCAGCTGTAAAGAATCTGCCTGTCAGTGCTGGAGATACCTGAGATGTCCCTTTGATCCCCAGGTCAGGAATATCCCTGGAGGAGGAAATGGCAACTCCCTCCAGTATTCTTGCCAGGAATATCCCATGAACAGAAGATCCTGTAGCATATAGTCCATGGGGTCATTAAGAGTCAGTCAAGACTGAGCATCTGAGCACAGATGCATGCATGTCAAATAAAAAAAAATTTTAATGGATTGTTGCAATCTTAGGTAGCTGTATATACTTCCCTATGTCTGAGGAACATGGGGAATCTTTGTTCTGGGGCATTTCTCAGATGCCATCAATGGCACCTTCCAAATTTACCTTATCCTAGTTTTCTGGTGCAGAGTTAATGCCTGGAAAGTTTAATATCTTTCCCAAGCTGGCATTTGTAATGAATAGAGAAAATATACACAAGTCCAGACATCTCATTGTCTTAGATGGTGCCAAGACCATCAATCTGAACAGGGTCCATGGTTTTGGGTTTCCTGGTGGCTCAGATGGTAAACAATCTGTGTGAAATGCAAGAGGCCTGGCTTTTGTCCTTGGTTTGGCAGGATTCCTTAGAGAAGGAAATTACTACCCACTCCTAGAGTCTCTTGGACTGCAAGGAGATCACACTAGTCAATCCTCTAGGAAAACAACCCTGAATATTCGTTGGAAGGACTGATTCTGAAGCTGAAGCTCCAGTACTTTGCACACCTGGTGGGATGAGCTGACTCATTGGAAAAGACCCTGATGAGGGAAAGATTAAGGACAGGAGGAGAAGGGGGTGACAGAGGACGAGATGGTTGGGTGACATCACTGAATGGACATGAGTCTGACCAAACTCCGGGACACAGTGGAGGACAGGGAAGCCTGGCATGTTTCAGTCCATGGAGTCACATAGAATCAGAAGTGACTTAGAGACTCAAAGTTGAGGAGACACACACATTGACAAAGCTCGCCTACTCACAATCTACATGATAAATATTTCCTTCTCCTCTCTGTGCCACTACTGTGATTAAGGTGCAGCTATCGTAGTTCCTGAAAAACAAACACACAAGACATTCCTTTCTCACCATCTGTTCCTCAGCACTGGAGGTCACCCTTCCATGAACAGGGTTCACACTCTTATCTTCACTTGCATCACCCCCACCACTCACTGCATGTTAGAGACCGAACCCCATGATGGAATTCAACAGTCTTCCTGTTTTTAGTTGGGGCAGATTGTGCTTACGTGAGAATAAAACTAATGGACATTTTTTCACAGTTGTCAATGCATTCAAATCGACGGAAGTATGTCCTCAGTGGGCCTCCTTCTTCAATCTTCTCCTTGTTATCCGCAGCCATGTAAATGGTGTACCAGTTTCCTGTAATCTAACAAGGAAGGTCTCCATAAGCATCAGTCAATCTGGCTACATGTTTTCCACCAACACCCAGCACAATCTTTGCTTTTGCATGTACCTCAGAAGAGAAGTAAAGTCAATCTTATTAAGCAAAGTAGTGTCCTACCTCCTACCTTGCAGATTAATGTGAAATGAAATAATGATTCACATTCAAGCAGAAAGAATAGAATTCAGAGTGTCTTGAAATAGCTAAAACAATACCATTAAAACCATGACAAATCATAACTCCCTTAATGATAGCATATTAGCTTTTATTTTTCTTACATACAGACAAATCAGATGAAAAAATCATACAAAGATCAGGAAGATAGAGTGTTGTATTATGCTCATGTAGATATGTGTATCACAGTATGTGTGTATATATATACATATACACACATACACAAGCTGGTCATCCATGTTAACAAGACTTTCTTTCTCTGTCACATTCACAGAACCAACACCTTCTTCCATATCAGCAGAATTTCTGTACCTCTGAGGCTTCTGGCTGAGCTGGTGCTTCTTGGACAGCACAAACCAGACCAAGGAGAAGAGTCAGGAACACAGCCTTCATCTTGTGAGTCTATTGATTCTTCCTCTACAGAATCTGACGGTTTCCCAGTTTTGAAGTGGTTGTGAATTGTTTCTGCTATTTATAGGACACATCTCTTGGCACAATATGTAATGACCAAATAGTGATTATTTATAAAACCTTGGTTGCATTGATGTAATCTGATATCCTGGTTGGCAGCTGAGCTTTTAGCATAATCTGTGGTTTCTAATAAATGTATTAATTTTAAGAGAAGCATAAGTAAATTTGGACATATGACCTTCAGACTAGATGAGAAATCACAGCACATATGGAATATTTCAAGCACAGTGATATGTATATTGCTTTGTATCCTCAGATTCCAAAATGGGACAAACAGTCCTAGACACATAACCCCAAATTCTGTGTTCTTTCTTCAGCATTGAAGTCAGTTTAAACTTATTTTTCAGGACTAAAGATGGTACCATCTGGTGTGGTTTAAGTCACTCAATTGTGTGCAACTCTGGTCCCGACAGACTGTAACTCCCCAGGAACCTCTGTCCGTGGGATCTCCCATGCAAGGTTGTTGGACTGAGTTGCCATTTACCTCTCCAAGGGATCCTCCTGACATGGGATTGAACCCGAGTCACCTGCATGAAGGCAGTCTCTTTAATTGCAGGCAAATTCTCTATCAACTGGGCCATGAGGGAAGCCCCTGTCTGGTGTAAGGAGACTAATCTGTGGCATGTATCCCAGGAACCCATTATGAGGGCATTTCTCAGAGGAGTCTATATTTTTTATTTGAAATTGAAGTATTAGTTGATGTACAGTGAGTCAGTTCAGTCACTCAGTTGTGTCCAATTCTTTGCAATCTCATGGACTGCAGCATGTCAGGCTTCGCTGTCCATCACCAATGCCCAAAACTTGCCCAAAGTCATGTCCATAGAGTTGGTGATGCCGTCCAACCATCTCATTCTCTGTCATCCACTTCTCCTCCTGCCTTCAATCTTTTCCAGCATCATGGCCTTTTCCTTTTTTTATTTTATTTTATTATATATTTTTTCCATTTAGTTTTATTAGTTGGAGGCTAATTACTTTACAGTATTGTAGTGGTTTTTGCCATACATTGACATGAATCAGCCATGGATTTACATGTATTTCCCATCCTGATCCCCCCTCCCACCTCCCTCCCCATCCCATCCCTCTGGGTCTTCCCAGTGCACCAGCCCCGAGCACTTGTCTCATGCATCCAACCTGGACTGGCAATCTGTTTCACACTTGATAATATACATGTTTCGATGCTGTTCTCTCAGATCATCCCACCTTTGCCTTCTTCCATAGAGTACAAAAGTCTGTTCTGTACAGTTGTGTCTCTTTTTCTGTCTTGCATGTAGGGTTATCGTTACAATCTTTCTAAATTCCATATATATGTGTTTGTATCCTGTATTGGTGTTTATCTCTCTGGCTTACTTCACTCTGAATAATGGGCTCCTGGGCACTCCTGGGCATACACACCAAGGAAACCAGATCTGAGAGAGACACGTGTACCCCAGTGTTCATTGCAGCATTGTTTATAATAGCCAGGACATGGAAGCAACCTAGATGCCCATCAGCAGATGAACGGATAAGGAAGCTGTGGCACGTATACACCATGGAATATTACTCAGCCATTAAAAAGAATGCATTTGAATCAGTTCTAATGAGATGGATAAAACTGGAGCCCATTATACAGAGTGGAGTAAACCAGAAAGATAAACACCAATACAGTATACTAATGCATATATATGGAGTTTAGGATGGTCTTTTCCATTTTTCATGGTATTATACAGTTATAGACATATCATGTAGTGATTCGTGATTTTTATGTACCCATTTATCATTATAAGAATATTGGCTTTATTCCCTGTGTTGTAGAATATAATTTTGCACACTGTTTATTTTATACATAATAGCTAATACCTCTTACTCCCCTCCTCTTATCTTACCCCAAACCCCTTTGGTCTCCACACTAGTAACCACTAGTTTGGTTGTATCTGTTGGTTTGCTGCTTTTTTTTTTTTTTAATAACATTGACCTGTTGGATTTATTTTTTAGATTTAACATGCAAGTGATATCGTACAGCATTTGTCTTTTTCTGTCTAAATTCTTTCACTTAGCCCATACCCTCAACGTCCACCCAAGTTGCTACAGATGGCAAAACTTCCGCTTGTGTGGTATCCCATCGTGTGTATATGTGTGTGTGGTGTGTGTGTATGTGTGTGTGTGTGTATACACTATGGCTTTGTTTAGTAGATTGTTATATGTAAATTTAATGAATTATTTTCAACAAGAGAAAAGTAAATGTAATGAATTATTTTCAACAAAAGAAAATTCTTATTTCCTACCCTACTCAAGGATTCCTCACAAGTTCATCTCTACAGTTTCATTTTGTCCTGTGGATATAACCTAGTCTCACTACAGCGGGTGAGATTTCTGCCTTACTTTTAGCTCTTGATACTAAGATGTGTGTTCTTTCAAACTTCTTCCTGAACTATTCAAGAGTCAGGGAACCCAGATGAAAGAAATCATGGGCAACTACTCTGTCAATTATACTCAGACAGTTTGCTCTCAGGACACCAGCTCTGTGATGATCTTGTCAATAATAATAATAATAATAAATGGGTGGATAATGATTAGAGATATAAAAGTAGGGAAATTGAACTGAGCCTCTGTAAATGAACCAAGCAAACTCCAGGATTTGGTGATGGAAAGATGGACAGGGAAGCCTGGTGTGCTGCAGTCCACAGGATTGTAAAGAGTCAGACATGGCTGAGCGACTGAACGGAATTGAACTGAACTCTATAGCTGAAGTGAAAGGTGAGTTTTTAAAACTCATTCAGTTCAGATTCAACAAAATGTCACATACTTGAGGTACACAGTTGGTAAGCTTTGGAGGAAGTGAGCTGTGAAACCTTTCCTCAATCAGCATGGTGAGCTTACCTGTCAAGTTCAGGACTATGCTCAGGCTCCTTGCTCATCCTTCCTTCTGCCCCTTCTCAGCCACCTCCCACCCGGTCCTGGGAGCCCTCTCTTCAGTTTTCTGGCCCAGTAAGTCAGTTGACACTCTAGAATTTTCCAAAAATGGAATGTGTGTGTGTGTTTCTAGCTTCTTTCTCTTAGCATGTTTATTTTAATAATTGTCTGTATTTTTTTAGACTCCATTCCTATTGACCCCTGCATTGTATTATCTTGAGATTTCCCTGATAGCTCAGTTGGTAAAGAATTCACCTGCAATGCAGGAGACCATGGTTCAATTCCTGGGTCGGGAAGTTCCCCTGGAAAAGGGATAGGCTACCTGCTCCAGTGTTCCTATTCCTCCCTTGTGGCTCAGGTGGTGAAGAATCTGCCTGCAATCCAGGAGGCCTGGGTTCAATCCCTGGCTTGGGAAGACCAACTTTTGTCTTCCCTGATACCTCAGTTGGTAAAGTATTATCTTGCTTGGGCACAATGGTGTGTGTGGGCTCGGTTGCTAAGTGTTTCCAGCTTTTTTTGAGGCCCCGCAGACTGTAGCCTTTGTCCATTGACAGGTTCCTCCGGAGTGGGGGAGGGGGGGATTTCCCAGGGAAGAATACTGGAGTGGGTGCCATTTTCTCCTCCAGGTTGTCTTCCTGATCCAAGGATGGAACCGGTGTCTCCTGAACTGGCATGGCGGGTGGGGGTTATTTACTCTTGAGCCACCAAGGAAGTAGGGATATATCCCATTGTACCCATTCACATGTTGATGGATACAGGTTCATAGACAAGTCTTTATAAGAAACTGGGCCATCTTATCTCCTTGGTAGACACTTTGTGGTGGAACTACTGGATCTCAGGATGTTCCAATTTTAGAGTACTGCCAACAGTCGTTGAGAGTTTCCATTGCTTCAGACCCTTGCCAGGATTCAGTGTGATCATTTCAGATCACACAAATGAACAGCACCATTCAGTTGTTTTCATTTTAGACATTAAAGTAAGTGTGTGAGTGTATCTAGTTGCCATCCTAACTTTCAATTTCTGAGGGAATAAAGCCATGGGACGACTTTGTAGGTCTCCACTTCCCACTTGTCTATTTTCTTTGCTAAATATCTCTTCAAATCATCTGGTCATTACGAAATAAATTATTTGTTTCCTTATTATGAAGGTTGGAGGTTGTTTATAGATTCTGGGAACAAGTCCATTTTGAGATAGAAGGGCAAATATTTTTCCTCAGCCCCAGGCTTCTTCTGTACTTTCTTAAGAGTGTTCCTCAAGTTTGTAAATATTTTTGTGTTGATCTAGGCCTGCTTACTAACATAGTGTCCCCTGTGAATGTATCTGACTTGGTGTATTTTCTAATCAGCAACCTCTTGGTCTTAAGTCACAGAGTTTCTACCCATGTTTTACCTCTTGAGTCTTCCTTGCTTTGAAAGTGAAAGTCGCTCCGTCGTGTCCGACTCTTTGCAACCCCATTGGACTATACAGTCCTTGGAATTCTCCAGCCCAGAATATTGGACTGGATAGCCTTTTCCTTCTCCAAGGAATCTTCCCAACCCAGGAATTCAATCCAGGTCTCCCACATTGAAGCCAATGGCTTCTTCACCAGCTGAGCCACAAGGGAAGGCCTTTCTTGTTTTAGGTCTTACATATAAGTCTATGAATCTCTCTGTTACTTCTAAAACATGGAGCAATGAATGCATTGAATTATTTGTTTTTGGCATGTGGACATCCCACTTTTCCAGCAACTTTACTCCATAAATTTCTTTTTTTCCACTGAATTTCCTTTGTACTTTTATGCAAAATTTGATTGGGTGTATATTCCTGTCTCTTTTCCTGGTTCAGGGTTTCTCTTGTTTTGTTTCCCAGCCCCCCCCCCCCCCCGCCCCACCATTCTTTGTGTTTGAGACAGCATTTAATCAAAGACAATTAGAACATGAAGCTCATATGTCTAACCTTCAACACATTTGTGTCAAAAGCATAAAGTGTTCATGGTTCACAAACTTCTGAGTATAGGATTGCTCATCCATTTATACTAGAGTATAGTATTATGT